CCAGCGCGCCCCGCAAGAAGAAGAGGGGCTGCCCCTGCGTCCTCCTGTAGCCCCGGCGTGCGGGGAACGCCCACACGCGCTCTCTCGGGACCAGCTGCCTTCGCGCACCTTGCTGAGCCTCAGTTTCCCTATCTGGGTCTCCCAGAATACACTACACCCCCGCCCCCGCCCCTACTCCAGGGCCCCCTGGGGCCATCGCCGCCGTGTGCCTTCTGCCCATGCCTCGGGTCCCTACCTAAGGTGGGGCCGCGGGGCTCCCGGAACCCGGGTCACTGCTGTACATAGCTCCGCTCCCCGGAGGAATAAACGTCACTGCCAACACCCATCCAGGGCTGGCTGCTTCGGGAAGTGGGACCGGCGCCCAGGGTGCATTTGCAGGTGCACGCGCCTCGCTGGAACCTCGCTGGAGCGGGACGGTGCTTCCCAAGGCGGGCGACCCCGTCCTCTAGCGGGCGGCGCCGGAGTGACCCCGCTAGCAGATACTTACACTTTATTCTGCATCTTGCAGTGGCCCTGCTGGCAGGGTGGTAATGCATTGGACTGCTATGCAAAAGGTTCCCGGTTCAAAACCACCAGCTGACCGGAAGGAGAAAAACCGGGTTAAGAGCCAATCGTGTCCCTCACAACAATTTTAAAATTATCCAACCTCCATACATATATTTATTTTTTCATATATATATATAAATCATCTTACTGGGGGCTCTTCCAGTTCTTATCATCTATCCATCCATTGTGTCAAGCACATTTGGACATATGTTACCATCATCAGTTTCAAAACGTTTTCTTTCTATTTGAGCCTTTGGTATCAGCTCATCTTTTTCCCTCCCTCCTTCACTCTCCCTCCCTCACGAACCCTTAGTAATTTATAATTTTTTTTCATGTCTTACACCAATTACTTTCTCCCTTCGCCCACTTTTCTGTTTGTTGTTCGTCCCCCTGGTGGAAGTTATACATCAATCATTAATTGGTTTTCCCTTTCTCTCCCACCTTTCCCTTACCCTCCTGGTATGGACACTCTCATTATTGGTCCCGAGGGGTTTATCTGTCCTGCATTTCCTGTGTTTCCAGCTCTTATCTGTACCATATATCCTCTGGTCTAGCCGATTTCTAAGGTAGGACTGGGGTCATGATAGTGGGGTGGGAGGAAGCATTAAAAAACTAGAGGAAAGGTGTATGTTTCGTCGGTGCTATACTGCACCCTGACTGGCTCATCTTTCTTGTGACCCTTCTGTGAGGGGATGTCCAATTGTCCATAGTTGGGTTCCAGGTCTCCACTCCGTGCCTTCCCCCTCGTTCACATTCATATGATTGTTTGTTCTGAGTCTTTGATGCCTGATACCTGATCCCATCGACATCTCATGATCACACAGGGAGGTGTGCTTCTTCCATGTCATATATATATATTACAAACAATTGAAATCACCATGATCTGAATAATAGTTTCAGTTTCAATTTTACTTCAGAGCCCAAAGTAAATACCGAAAGAGCCACATCTGGCTTTGCCAGCCCCTGGTCTAAAGCCATGAGACCCAGAATCCTGCACTGGGGGGAAGGCACAGAGAATAACTCAAAACCAGGCATCTGGGGGTGAGCACCCACTTTCCCTTCAAAAGAGCAACTCTAAATTTTCTGTTGTAGTGAGAGCTTCTGGTAGGCCAAAGCTTAGTGGTTGCTTTCTAGAATGTTCTAGAACTTTCCATTGCCCTTTTTCGACAGACCGTCATCTTGTGCAGTAGAATCCATTCTGCCTCACAGCGACCTCATGTGACAAAGTAAAATTGTCCCAGCAGGCTTCTTGGCTGTCTTCTTTATAGAAACAGGTCAATACCAGGTCTTTTTATCCTGCAAAACCACCAAGAGGGTTCCCACACTGAGATGTGCTTAATGGTTGCACCACCAGGATTCCATATGGTAGCCAGAAGTTACATGTGGTGATTCCAATTCAAATGATAGAAAAATGAAATATGAGGGGGTACCAAGAAAACAACAACAGAAAAGCTCTGCTGGACAGAACTTTCATCTTATGCATTCCCCCCACCCCATCCCCAGGAGGCAAGCATTGAGTGACTCACTCTGAGTTAGTGCACCCACCCAGTGGAAAATGTTAAAGACAGACAGACAGTGGGGCAGAGGGGCTCCTCATCCCGTGCCAGGACTG